CTCCCTCAACTACTTCCTCAAATATGGCCCCGGAACCCACGGGGGGTGGGGGGGGGGGACTTCTTATACACATACGGACAGACTTACATCTTGACACGGAAGACCATATGTGTTAGAACTGATTGAAAAGTACACGAGACAGAAGGTTGTGGACAAACATGATTACCAAAGCCATGGACTATAAGAAGAAAAGGAATACATCTGTGTTTTAACGAAAGTGTATTTCAGGGGTGAAAAAAAGAGGAAACAGCATGCATCTGAACGTCATGCACACAGGATTACTTATAGTTTGCCCGTGGATATACCCGGAACACCCCTTGGAGATCGGAGGCAAACTTGGCAACGTGACTGAATGTATTAGGAACCATGAAAATAAAACTGCGTCAACGGGCGGCATAACCAACACACATTCCATATCGTATGCGCGCTGCATGACAAAAACCCAGCGTTGTCGTGTTCCGAATGATTAACCATCTAAATGAAGAGATTGAAAAGTTAGTTGCGTATACTTCACAAGACGATGCAGAACCAACCCCAGCATTTTGTTGGCTGTTTTGGTTTATCTAGGCACATTTTTACGTTGTGGATTTTGCCCCTGCTTACTGGACAGTCAGATTTGGGTACCACTGTCGAAACCAACGCAAGATAAACCTAACATAGCTGGGATCAAACCCGACATTACGAAGCGCGTTCGCAACGACTAAGCCGCGCGAAGAAGGGATACATATTGTAAACTTGTGTTCATGTACTGGAATTTGATAATCGATCTGCGTGCGCCCCCTCTTCCCCCACTTTCCATATGCTGGTTAAAGGTAGCAAGGAAAGGTCCCGAGGAAAGAAAAAAAAAATATCAATATGGCTGTCAGACCTAGAAGGCCGATCGCGGTGACCCCTTTCAACCTCCAAAGAAGTATAAATAGGGCACCTGTAACGGCTTCACCAGCCTGGTGTAACCTGCAGTCATGCACGAGTTCGTAGGGGGCGGGAGACTTCAAGTGGCTTAAGCCTTGCTTTGGTGCACAATAATAATAATTATTTTGTGATGAATGACAAATACATATACAAAATTTAAATGATATGAAATGTATACACAAACAGACGTTCACCCGATGTAAACTCCGGCAGAAAGTTCTGGCTGTTCGTCCACTCCTGGACCGTGGTCTTCTTCCTAAACTTCGGATTTAGGTGCACTCCACTTTACATATTCATTCTTATTTGGATGCAGACTGTTGGTTCCTCGACTTTCCGACAGAAGCACTTCGATTTCGAAAGAAATGCCCCTAATTAGTCGCCTTTTACAACAGGCTTGTTAGGGGGCAATGGGCCATCCCACCCCATTTTTTGGGGGGAGGGGAGGGGTGGGTGGGCGGAACCCACACTTTTACCAGTCAAATAACGCATACGTCGTGAGGTAAACCACGACCTTCTCTATTTATATACAGGCGGACTGGATAAACCTCAACTTTACCATATGTAAAGCTCTGCATGGGAACTTATCCTTTTAAACATTGCGTTGCAGTGACTTTTTTTTTCTCTCCATAAAATAGACATACAATGTCTACATAAATAAACTACACGGGGGAAAGGGGGCCACACGGGAAGCGAAGTTCAACCGGATCAAATGGCAGGTGAAATGCGCGTTTCTTTCGCAAGAGTCAACAATGGCCATTTACGTGTTGTAGACAGATCTGCATACTGCAGTGAAGGAGAGAATATATTAGGATACTACTACACATTACAAGGGAGATTACATTACACTGGAGGTGTTTTCCAAATAACAGGATTTATATAAGGTAAGCGGCTGCATTTCTTTCCGTTCTGGTGCTTAAAAAAAATAAATTACTTTACTACTTTTTAATCTTCTTTTTCCTCCTCCTTACTTAATATATATGAGGAGGAGAAAGAAGATTAAAAAGGCATATGGATATATACTCATCGCCTACCATTTCTCACGGCGGCGTCCGTGGCTAAGGCGTTGCGAGTCCGACTCGTAAGCCAGCATACCGCGATCGAAACCTGCGTGGGCTGCGTGGATTTTTATCGTGGTATGGGACGTCGCAGGTCGACCCAGCCTAAAATGGGTACCAGGATGGGCTGTCCTGGGAAAGTAAAGACAGCCGGCGTAATGCTGACCACATTACCCACAGAGTGCTGATGGTCTGTAAAAATATGGGACGCTCTGCCCATATGCCCGATGCGCCGAAAGGCGTGAAAAGGGATCTTTACTTTACTTTACTTACCATTTCTCACACTATCTCCCTTCTACTTATACTTCTCCTACACTTCCTCCCAAATCGCTTCTTCTCCACTCCTATTCAATTTTCTGTTCCCCACCCTCCTACATCCTTTCTCTTCTCTTCCTATTATCCCTTCGCTTCCCCTTCCTCCTACACCTCTTCCCCTTCCTCCTACACCTCTTCCCCTTCCTCCTTCTTTTCCTTCCTCCTACGTCTCCTCTTTCCCTTCTTCCTACTTCTTTTGTTTATTCCCCGTTATCTGGACAGTGCTTAGGCCATGTATTTCATCAGAAAGTCCAACAAGTTCACCATCATGTAGCCACCCATCTCTTTATGTTAAACAGGATCAGCGACAGTAGTTCTCCAAGATCCATCTATGCTGACTGTATACATTCTGGACAGTATCCAACTATGAGTACCAGTGTTAGTTCCCCCTTGATCTTTAAGATGATTCATATCGTTAGTCATGAAAACAACATAACTCAGCATTTTTGTGACAGGGATGTCTTTTGTTGCCTCTCTTATTTTTACTGGCTATAGACTAGATTATGAAAACAATAACTGATAACACCAAGAATGGAATTCAATGGACCTTTACAAAACACCTTGATGATCTGGACTTCGCTGATGATATTTCTCTTCCGTCCCATTCGCAGAATCAGATGCAAGATAAATTAAATATACTTGATGCGAGATCACAGCAGCTTGATCTGATAATCCATAAAGGAAAGACAAAGATAATGAGAATAAATCAGGCAAATAGTAATGTGGTTTCTCTTAATGGCACCCCACTCCAAGATGTGGAGTCTTACACCTATTTGGGCAGTAATGTAGATAAAGATGGAGGAACTGATAGAGATATTAAAATAAGAATACAAAAGACAAGAGGAGCTTTTATAGCACTAGGGAATGTGTGGAGGTCAAAAGAAATAGTAAACTAAATATTTTTAGTTTTAATTGTCAAATCAGTACTTTTGTATGGGGCAGAAACATGGACAACAACTAAGGCAATTACTAATAAATTACAGACATTCACTGACTGGTGCCTGCGCAGAACAGAGGGAATTAAATCGTATGATTGAATAACTAATATAGAGCTCTGGAAGAGAACTAAACAGGCTCCAGTGGACCAAAAGGTGAGGAAAAGATGCTGGCGTTGAATAGGACACACCCTGAGAAAACAGGAGAATAGCATAGCTAGTATGTTTTTGCATTGGAACCCACTGGGGCATAGGAATAAAGGAAGGCAAAAAAAATGGAGAAGAGACCTGGAGAATGAAGTTAGAAAGATGGAGAGGACATGGGGAGAGCTCCATGTAAGGCGAAGGATAGACCAACTTGGCGTAAGCTGGTTGAGGACCTGTGCTCCATTGGGGGATAGAAAGGCAAAAGAAGAAGAATACTGGGTAACTTTACATCCAGTAGTCTGCCACTGCTTTTTCAACAGTCTGCCTTCTGTACCATTGTTGAAACCATGGCAGAGCGGTCTGCAGCCCAATCTCCTGCAACTGGAATTGAACCAGGTACCTCTGAAGTATGAAGCACGTTTCCTTTATATTTATCATCTGTCCCTAATTCTTTATTTCTTATCGCTTCTGAGTTCTAGCTATATTAATAATTTCTTTCTCTTCTTTTTTTAATGTCCAGCAGCTGTAAACTTTCCCAGAAAGTTCTCGTCATTCATTTATTTCTGAACATAAGTCTTGATCCAGAACTTGAGATTTGCGTGCATGTTACAAATCTGGGGTATTATATGTAGGCTGCTGGTTGTCGCTGACTTCAAAGGAAACACCCCTAATTAGTGCCCTTTAACAACATACTTGTTAGGGGAACAGTGGATCAATTTGAAGGCTATCCTTCGAATAACAGTCCCAAATTATTGAGGCTGAAAATATACCCTAACAGGGCCTCAGTCACATGCAAATTGCAGACCTCTTTCTGGCAACCACACAGCATACCGCAGAAAAGCTTCTGCTGAGTTAAAGTCACTGCCAAGTATATCTCCTGCGCCGCTATGCGTGGCTAAATTAGATGGCTAGGACTCACGAACAGCAGCTACCGCATCTCATGCAGCTTACACCATTTTATTTGCTGTGTAGTCGTTTTTCGGAGGATAGCTAATGTTTGTTGTTATTAGCGAGCAGACCACCTGGCAAGCAATGCACCAAGGCATGTGGGAAGAAGCATGGACAAAGCAGATATCGTCTGGACTGGTCTAGTAGATAATGATGAATACCTAACAATAACACGATTGCATAAAGCATGGTAAAGCATGTCTATGCCGTCTTTGAGGCCGAAACAGGAGACAATATAACCAGCTTCTCAATTAGCTGAAGTACTTTCGAGTGGCTGCTGCATCGGAGGACTAAGCACGCTTAGGAATGCCCAATGTGCAGTAACGCCAATTGTGATAACATAGGAAGAAAGAAAACTCATAGCAGGTCAGGATATCATGAAGCAGGAAGAACATCTTCCTTTTTCTGTTTAAATTATCAGGTTCCCTTTAGTCATTCCTGCTGCTCAGTTGTATAAGATTTTAATGTTACCACCCCAGACTTAAAGACCCACACGTACTTGTTAATGTTCAACTCAACAGTGCTGTAGACATATTATATCTGCGTATGAAAGATAATCATGTCAATATACGTGTGTTTCAAGCACAGCTGATGTAATGTCTTAATAATTAATGTCCGAAAGAACTACGAACAGTGTTTGTAACATTGTTACAATTAAACAACTAACAAGAAATAACAGTCACCGAACCTTGTCTTGATAAACTGCGACATCACAAGTCCAGTTCTGGCAGCAGTATTCCAAGCAGTCGGCGTTTGATTTAACATTCTTGACAGAGTCAACATAAGCTGCCCCTGCACTTATTGATTCCTTTGTTTTAATTATACTTCCCTGCTGAATGACAGGCTCACAAGTTTGTAGATTTCGCAGTTCACTGCTAGCAGACTGCGACTGTTTACCGCTACCACTTGTAGGGAGATTTGCAGCTTCACCGTCAGCGGCAGACTCCTCTTGATAGTTGTAACTAGGCTCTCCCAGACGCTTAATCAAGTCTAATATTAACTTAGCATCATTATTCTCCGATCCCTGAACCACACTTTCCTTAACAGCGTTACTGGGCACAAACATACACAACAGAATTATAAAATTTGTCAGCATTATGAAATTGTTTGTTGACTTCCAAGTCTGAAATTTAATGTCGGAACTTCCGCTTACGCTGACATGCGCAGAACAGTAGTATGTATTACTACGAAGTGGTGATTTAAACAAATAGTGCACTACAAACATCTTTATTTACTCATAAAATTTGGAAAAACATTTCAAAAGTATAATGCAAATTTTTTAACATCATGTTTAAAAGAATCTATTCTAGTTTTGTTAGCAAATAATTGTTTTATTTTATGATAGAGTGAAGAGGGCCTACTATGTTGAGCCGGAACCCGTTCCGTAAGAAGACAGTTGGATTCTATGAAGTGGCGACTCCATCCTACACAAACAGCATGACGAGCCAGACCGCTATTTCTAAAGCAAATGAAGCAGAAATGGACACCAATTTTAGTCATTCTTCGAAGGCCTTATCGCACGAGTCGTCCAAGATCGTTGACTTTGATTTAAATAAGGACCAGCTAAAAGAGAATAAGAAAAAATACTTGACTGCAAAGTATGGTTCGCATCAGATGCTTTTGATAAAGAAAAGGTTAAATGTTGAAATGTGGATTTTCGATGAGCTAAGGAGACTGTATAACTCTGAGGTAGGTTACAGTTGTTATGTTTTATGGTATGTGTGTTTATGAGTGATGTTAATATCAGTCGTGAGATATCATCAAGTGCCAACTCCACATTAAACATCGAAAACTCTAGCAATCACTGTCAACACTTTCACTTACACAACCAACCCTCTGTCCTGCATCTTCACCAAACGCTAAAAAAATACTCATCATATCATAAAATAAAAAACATAGACCATAGAGGCTTCTCATGATAATAATACCTGATCACAAAGCGTATTTTCCTATAATAAATTCCTTTGCATGCGGATATAACAATGTCATAAGTCATCGACCCAACACATACATTCATAAACTCTCTCGTCTCCAAATATTGATGACTTTATACTGTTCCACAAACTCAGCAGTAAAGCCATATGTGGGAAGATGAGCGCTACCAACAAGAAATTGGCCCGGTTTCTTTTTCTAGTGTAATCTGGTAGTCTTAGTTTCAGCTTCATACAAAGCGGTTTACCGCATAGTTGCTCTGCTCCTGTGCCAAAAAACAAAAACAGAATGCTTATCATAGTCCCTTGTGGAAAGATTGACAGACTGCTGTCTCATCATATCTAGCATACACACTCATTAAAAGCAGACGGTAGCCATCCGAAGTGCTAACACAAACAATCTGACATTAGAAAGGCAGTTCATCATGAATGGTAGCAAAAGTTATCAACAGTTGCACACGTGATCATTTTTTAATCATAAAATGGCACCACCCATATTGTGACAACCAGCATCGCGCCATAATCTGAATCTACAATTCACACCACCACGTTGGTCACAGTCCAAAAACATTCCAAATGAAATCCGCAGCTCACAATGTCACGCCATGCACTCAACTCAGAAGCTGGGCGACGAAACTATATCCTTTCAGTCTACAAATAGAGCAAAAATGCAGCGGCCACCGTCTGGCAGAAGCAAAAAATTTGCCACAGCTCCAAACAGTGGCCTTGCCTAGCATCCATTTTGACTGGAAGACACTTTCCCTACCTTCAGGCCGGTGGGCAAGCTTCTTCTAACACATCGCTGGATCACTCGGGGGAGAGGGTATACCTTGATGCGTATTTGAACCTCGCACCTTCAGGCCGGCGGGCAAGCTACTTCTAACACATCGCTGGATCACTCAGGGAAGGGGGTATACCTTGATGCATATTTGAACCTCGCACCTTCAGGCCAGCGGGCAAGCTACTTCTAACACATCACTGGATCACTCGGGGGAGAGGGTATACCTTGATGCGTATTTGAACCTCGCACCTTCAGGCCGGCGGGCAAGCTACTTCTAACACATCTCCTAATCATTATTGTGATTATGCTTTGATTATATACCCTTCTTCTCCTTCTACTTGTTCACCGGCTGTAAACACTGGCAGAAAGTCCTGGCTGTCCATCCACTTTTGACTTTGATCTTGTTCCATAACATAAGTTTCATGTGCACATCTATTCTACAGGTATAGTTTACTTGTGTGTAGTAAAGTAAATGACTCTTTTCCACTCCTTGAGGCGTTATAGGGCTAGACCTATATTTTTATAGACCAATCAACACAAGATGCTTGGCCACCTTTACATCCCGGGACTGCACCCGGTACCCACTCAAGGCTGGGTCGACCTAGGAGCCAAGGTAATTTTTTTTTAAAAAGTCCGGCTCCACCAGGGAGCAAACCCACGACCTTCTGATCTGTGGCAAAAGTCTAGCCGCTCTGCTACGGCAACTCCCACTTGTGTGTAGACCATTATTTACTGCCTCTCAGGCATATGCACTTTGACTTGAAAGGAAATGCCCTAAATAGTCGCTTTTTATAGTAGTGGCTATATTCTTTTTCTTCCGAAATGATGCCCTGGATAATTATCTACTACATAGTTACCTCAATTCTTAATTATGTGTTGCTACAGACTTCTGCATAGCACAAATACTGTATGTATCCATGTCGGTGCCTGTAGCACCATGAGTGTTGGTGGTTGGTATCTGCAAATGCCAGAATAGCCAAGATGCCTGACCATTATCAGCAGAGCCATCCAGTAATGATCTAGTCTAGACAAGGCTTGTGAGTTAATTGACAACTTGTTCTCCATTCGGAGATGCAAATCGAGCAGTGGAGTGTATGATTTTGATATCATTCCCCTAATATAATTTGTTGCCATATTGTTGTAAAGGCTAACCAAGCCTACAATACCTGCAGAAGTGGGATTTGTCAGCTGAAATGCACAAATATAGCAGCCACTGATGTTGGTGATTACTTATGGATGCGTGAGTTGGAAAGCAACGATAGCTCTAGATTTTTTTTTTTTATTAGATAATTTAAAGAACACATGTCTTAGAAGAAAACTAAATGTCCACTGGACAGATTTCAGATCCAATACGCAAATAAGCTAAGAGACTAAGCAAGACATTGTATCCAATTTTATAAGAAAGCGCCACTAGAACTACATCAGCCATGCGCTGAGGATGAATAAGACAAGACTTCCCCATCAGGGCTGTGACGAGCGAAAGCTTGGCGTACAGTGTGACGTGCTGTAAAGGCTGCGTGGTGACGTGCGGCGTACCAAAGGGGAATAACGGCGTCGCAATGTAACAAATGGCATCAACAACTTAATATGCCACTGGCCAAGTATAACACAACATGATGAATGTTGAAGCTGCTAAACGTAGCGGAACGAGAACTCCCTTTAAAGGTTCCAACGGGTGTATTGATATATACAATGATCAACAGAAGGAGAAAATATGCAATTAATAATCCAGACTCATCCAAACACACCAACACAAGCCCGCTTGTACATCTATGAAAAATTGATAAATTCTCACGAGGGGTCGCAGTCCGACCTTGAGATCCAGACAGTCATCTCTGTCTTCTCTTCCGCAGTCTGAATAAGGTAATGTAAGTATACCGGCTTACTGTCGAACTGTGACAATATACCAGCTCTCTGCTGAGGTTTATAGTGGAGTCCCGGGATAAAACGTCCTCAAGGATCCAACTGTATACAACGTCTACTTCCGTGGAATCCCGGGGTAAAGCGTCCTCAGGGATCCACACGTCCGTCTCCTTCGAACTGTAAACATCAACTGCCTTTGACAACAAAACCTTCGCGACGTTACTTATTGTTTTGACGTCCTATTTGCTCACTCAGTACTGGTGCGTTCTAGTGCACATACGCACGCGACAAGGGCCTCATATGGACAAAAAAAATGGGGAAGACCAAGAGAGACTCTAGTAGAACCATTATTGGGGAAGGCTCAATCTTGGGCCTAACAAACAGCCAAGACCTGAAGGGGGTGGCAGCAGGCCCCCAGACATGGAGAGCTATGCCCTATGCACTGCCCTAGGCTCAAGAGGAAAGACTAACTAGCTAGCTGTTGGTGATTATTAATTCAGATCATGGTCATGGATGGCCAAGGCAGAAGACACAATCAGACAGGTTTGCATCCTTGAGAACATTAGGCGAGGAGAAGAGTGGGTCAAAGTGCCACCTGAACAGTCAGACTTGTGTAGGGTCATAGACACAATCTGACAGGTTTGCATCCTTGAGAACATTAGGAGAGGAGTGGGTCAAAGTGCCACCAGAACAGTCAGACTTGTGTAGGGTCATAATCACACTGAGCCGGGAATGCAGAGACTGGCCAGCAGGTGCTACAGAGGTAGAAATTTAGCAATTAATTCAAGATAATGCTCGCTCAGAAGATTTGATTATTTACAGAGATGGTTCAGTGTCAAGAGGCAAAAGAAGTGCTTGAAGTTTCTTAGCAAAAGTTAATGGTTTACAGGAGAGCCTAGCATATGATACCACAACATCCAGCTTAAGAATGGAGGTGGAGGCGGTCGCTGCAGCTTTCCGCTCGCTAGAAAACACGATACACACACATCGTGATTGTAACTGACTCAGAAAGCATGCTGAGGAAGGTTAGGACAGGCATGCTTCGTGCAGAGTGGCATGCCTCGCTGTGGAGGACACAGGTGAGGAGTATTGTCTGGGTTTTTTCACCAGGGCTCAGTGATGTATTGTGAAATGAACAGATGGACAAACTGGCTGGCTCTGCACAGCTTGGTTGAATACTGATACATGGTAAGGCAGATGTGGTTAGTGCCTTGTGGGAGAGTTTGTACAGTTAGGAGGAGCAGATGGATCACCACAGTCTGGTGAACGAACGAACAAACTTTATTTTCAAAGGGTTACAAATTGGGCATGCAGGCCCGTCTGACATTCAGTCCTTCTAAGCACTCGTGAGATTGATGTAGGGGGAGTGTCAAGAGGTTCTAACAGATGCTCGAGTCTCTGAAGAAAGGCAAGACGGACATTTAATCAGAATGCTACTGGCACCATTAGTATCAGAACTCTTCGCTGGCTGCTGAAGATGAGGACAGAGTGCTTATGGGAAGGCCCCAAATGCTGCGATGTCATTTCTTGAATCAAATCAAAATCAAATTGAATCAATTCAGATCTGTCTGCTAACCTTTCTTGTGAAAGTGGGATATGAGTCGAATGTGCTGGCAGAGTGTAGATTTGCTTTGGTTCACAGAAGGAAGATTAACATACCATCAAAGTGAAAACTTGGTCACACGTTGGACTCATAGTGCATGCTTAGAAAAATTATGCTCTGTGATGGCACCATACATATGAAGTGGCTTGCATTGTTTTAGAAGACACAGATCAGGAGCCTCTCATGGATTTTCTGCCCAGGATGTTCTGATGTGCTTGGTAGTAAGCCAGTGGGTTGGCTGCTGTTGTTCCTCTGGCTGGTGAGCTATTTTATGATAAAAGTGGATGTGGTTAAAACTGTGTTGGATTAAGTGGACAGTCCAAGGAAACTGACTGAATATCCTTACCTGGAAATACTGCTGAGTAGGCAGAGGGTATGGGCAGTGTCTCAGTGCACAGGATATGGGACAGGTGGACATTTAACCTGGCAACATCATTCTAAGGAAGGGGAGAAAGCACTTGTGGGATTGCCAGGAGTACAGAATTGTCAGTTCTGGATTCATTCTCAGGAA